TTATGAAGTCCTTACTACTGGAAAAGCCCTGTACACTGCTATATAAACAAAGAAACATACACAATTCCAATCACACTGACCTTATTGTCTATCTGAGGTAGCAGAACTTCTACAAATAAAATAATCTATAATCTCCCTGAAGGCAGAATATAACGTTTAATTCATATATCTCTACAATTTAGCATAATGATCAGCATACAGCAGTCACTATGATAGTAAATGTTTGTAGGGTAAATATTGACTGAACCGAAGCCCAGATTTATGCAGAAACATCCTAATAAATGTAATAGTTTTCAAATAACTTAAGATATTTTAAGCAGCCTATAAAATAAGAAAAACGTTGTATCTTGGAACCAAAAGCTTATATAAATTTATACATAGTCCACGTTGTTCTGAGTCAACCTGCTCATTCATTTTTCCATTCACTCATTCAAGAGATATTTTATTGAGCACTTATTTTGTGCTAGAGGTTATTTCAAGGTGGTGTGAAAAAACAGCATGACATTTGAGCAAAGACTTGGAAAAAAGTGAGAAAATTAGTAATACTTAATGACTAATGTAAGGGTAGAGAATTCCAGGCCCTGAGGTGGGAGCATGCTTAAATGTTCAAAGAACAGAAAGAAGGCCTGTGAGACTAGACAGAATTAATAAGGGAAAAATTGACAGGAGATAAGATCACAGGTGAGAGGGACCAGATCACTCAGGGACTTACAGGCCAGGACTTTGGATTTTACTGACAGGGGAAGCCACTGGATAATGAAATTATTTGACTTGCCTCTCCCTGGGGTGTCATGAAAGATGGTAAAGGTAGAAGCAAAGAGACCAGTTATGAAGTTGTCGCAATATTTCTGGGTGACATGTACTGGTGAAAGTGGTAAAGGAGGGATGAAATGGCATTATATTTGCTATTTGCTCATTTACTTTATTATTTACGTACATGGCTTTTTTTTTCTTTATTACTATTGAAAGGAAGGGCATCTTTCTGTCTTAAAATAGTACTCGAGTAATTGTTCAAAATATATGGATAAATTAACACAGCTACGTACATGCATGTAAAAGAATGCCAAGGAGGGGCTAATAATGGATTGAAAAAGAAATATTATTCCTAATATATAGCAACTGTTGAGTGTTTAGGGTGTTTCAAGCACTTTACCAAATCTATCAAATACACAAATCACTTTTAATCCTCACAGTACTCCACATTATGAGGTAGGTAGCATTATTATTGGAGCCCTGGTAGCACAAAGGTTAAGAGCTATGGCTGCTAACCAAAGGTCAGCAGTTTGCATTATTATCTCCTCTTTACAGAAGAGAAAACTGAGGGACAGAAAAGTTAACTCATCTGCTGAAACTTACAGTGCAAAACCAGCAGAGATGACACTTGAATGTAAGTTTTTTCTGACTCTGAAACAGGTCTTTGAACTGGTTTACTCTGGTTCAACTCCCCGCTGAGAATTTGCATTTCCACCCCAGATGTACTGAACCAGAATCTACAGTTTAACAAGATCCTCAGGTGATTCTTATAGATTCCCAAGTGAATCTTACAATACATAATTCCTATGTACACATAAGAATAGTGTATACATAAGAATTGCCTGGGAGATCTTGTCAAAATGTAGATTCTGAGTTTAACAAGATCCCCAGGTGATTCTTATAGATCCCTAGGTGATTCTTACGAATATATAAGAATTGTGTATACATAAGAATCACCTCGGGATCTTGTCAAACTGTAGGTTTTAATTCAGTATATCTAGGGTAGAAATGCAAATTCTCAGCAGAAGGTCAAGCCAGAATGAAGCAGTTCGAAGCCCTGGTTGAGTTTCTCATGGAATTAATGATGCTCAAGGAGGAATTGTCAAGTTCAGTTGTTAGATAATGCAAGGCAGTTAATCTGAGGCAGGTGTCAAAGTCTTTAAAGGAGTAAAGGACTGTGGGCTGTAATTAGTCCATTGTTTAAGGTCCATTATATTTTATGTACATATTTTCATGTGAGTGGAGCAAAAAACTCAATAAAATATAATAAAAACGCAAAGTCTTATTAAAAACACTCTGGACTATTCTGATCCTTAAGCTAGGTATGTACTTCCTAGAGATTTTCACTTCAAGCTCAAGCCTATAGAAATAGCATAATCAGCGTAATATAATACTTTTTTTCTTCCTATACTGCATTGTTTTAGGGAAGGTTTAAGACAGATTATAAGAATACATAAAATATAATAAGATTGCATTAAAAGTGGGCTAAAGGAATAAATTAAAACAGAAGCGGAAACAAGACAGCTGAGAGGCATGAATAAGATTAAAAATGCATGTGATGAAGATGAAAGCTTATACATTTGCCGCAGGTGGACCACAAGGCTGGTGTTAAGCCTTCAGGCAGTAAAACAATATAGTACACACATATTCAATTAAAACACGGAGAAAATTAGTGGCTTGTTAGAAAGTCTAATTAATAATTCGTAAAGAAAAAAAAACTGTATGCCTAAGAAAAAAAAATTGAGGCAAGAAAATTTGGAGTAAAGAGTGGAAAGAAAATTACGGCTTTTAAATATGGCTTATTTAAAGAAAGTAGGTGAAATAACCTCACAATATGAAAAAAAAGAAATAAAAAGACGTTCCTCTTTTAAACTTTTGCAGCAAGCCCAGAAGCAGCATGTATAATCAGAGAACGCAGACTGAAGTTTTCAAAAACAGCTATTTCCCCTAAAGCTCTCATGTGAGTTAACACTGCTTTATGAATTCGAATTGTGAAGATTGCACTTACTTTCCATCAATTTGAAGAAAATGAGTGGACAAGTAAAAACAGAAAATGATAACAGTAAATATGGAAAGAAATTGAAACTGAAATAATATGCTGAAATAGGCTATGCTTGTTTTCATAACCCAGATTAAAATGTAAAAGTGTTGAAATGTCTTTGAGAAAACATAAGCATCTGTCCAATGGCTAAAATTTTAAAATATTACATTAAAAAAGTCTACCCTGAAATACCCATTTAAAGTGACACATTATTTTGCAATGTGATTTACGTGTTGAAAATTCTTCCTTTTTACTTCCTACTATTTAGAAGCTTGTAGAAAAATTTTATTTGGTTTTTTTAAAGGTGCTACTAGAAAGAGAAGTTTAACTCATAACAACAGAATGGGCAAAGTAGGAGGTTATTTTAGTAACTATTACATGCTTAGCCAGAGAAGGTTTCCCTTAACTACTCAAAACCCAGGGACCCAATTCCATGTATCTACCTTGTTCTAAGGTGAAATCACCACAGTTATAGTAAAGCAAAAAGAAAGATTTTATTCCGTATATTCAAAGGGACAAAAATAGGAAACCGACAAACACGTTGTCCGAGTCTTGTCTGCCTGAGTCCAAAAGACGTTACAGAATCATTAGTATATATTAACATTACAAATGGGCACAATCATTGAAAGCTTCACCTTTTCACAGGCTGGCTAAAAACTGTTAAGTCACTGTGGTTCTACATTTTGAATTGTCTTTGTTAATAATCATAGGTACAGGTTTCAGTAACGACAGGAGAGTCTTCATTGGTCCAACAAATCTTACTATTTGCTAAATGCTAAAAGAAAAAATAAGAGCAGAAAGTATATTAACTGTTGTAGGGGAAGAACATCACAAAGTCTAGTAAAGCAAAAACAAAGTTTTATTCTGCATATATTCTAAAAGGCAAGAGTGGGAAAAGGACAACCATGCTGCCAGAGCCATGTCTGCCCGAGTCCAAAGACAATTACAGAGTCATCAGTATATATTGACATTACAAATGGGCGAAACCATTGAAAGCTTCAGCTTTTCACAGATTGACTAGAAACTGTGATCCTACATTTTGAATTCTTTCTTAACAATCATTGGTACAGGTTTCAGTAACGATGGTCAGAAGGGTCTTCACTGTGCCAACAAATTTCTATTTACTAAATGCTAATAGAAAAAGAGTATAAAGTGTTTTGTGTTCTGTTTGATTGGCTTTATGTGAAAGTTTCCTTGAAAGATATTTTCCAAGATTATCTTGGCTATTGTCTTTATACCTCAGGGCCCAGTTGATGTGTCCTTGTGAGTCCTTGTGAGCCCAGTCCCAGCTGGGTCACATTCTCTATGCTCAAGGAGAGGGAATAACGGCTCCAATATTATCTCCAAAATCAACCAACCTACCTACCTATTACCTATCTACATGTCTGTGGATGTGGGAACTTATGTGGACATATGGAGACATGTCTCTGTAAGTGTATGTGTCCCTGATGATTTCAATAACAGCCAGCGGATGTGCGGTGCTAGGAAGCAAGGGCATTCTTCTTGGACATCCTGTTTCGCAACTTCTCTTGCAATCAACATTCAATCAAAGCCGGCCGGAGCAATCCTGCCTCGTTAGGCTGATAGGCTGGGCAAGAGAACGCCAGGGTGTGGGCTGCGCACCACCCCCTTCCTACGGCCCTTTCCTCAGTCCCCTCGCTACAAGAAGCCGGGCTCATTTGAGCAGCGACTCCTCGAGGCATCTGTTCGTATCCGCCGGGTCTTTCCACTAAAATCCAAGTCTTTTCAACCAAAATCCACCTCTTCGTGGACGTTCGGAAGGAAAGCCTAAGGTAGGGGTGCGCGAGTCTGGCGACGAGATTGGATATTTCCCCGGAAAGGTCGGGCTCTCCAGTTTCCGGAGCTTGATTCCCATGGAGAAAAGGGCTTTTAGGGGTTAGATTTCCCTGCGGCAAATCCATGGGGGTCAATGGGGTGACACCAGGGTCATTCGGGGGGCTTCCAGAGCACTCTCCGTCCCACGGTGTTAGGTACTAGCCACGCAAATTTGGATCATGCTCCCTGGAAGGCGCAGAGCCAGCCGAGCGCGAGAACCTGTCTCCGAGCCAGCGGACTGGTGAACGGAGTAAAGAAACATCGCCTGCGGCTATGGGAAGTAGGAGGGAGAGCCGCAGTGGCGACCGGCACTACGCGCCCCGGCTCTCCAACTTTGCCTGCCTGGGGAGCCTTTGAGGGAGATCATCACAGTCGGAGCAGCCGGCGGCAGCACAGCGGTGGCGTCCGCTTGCCCCGTTCGGTCGGGGAGTAAAGGCCAGTCTCGCCCTCGGCTCTTCCGAATCGCGTGTTTGGCTAATAGTAGTCTGTGGTCTCTCTCCAGGACGCAATGGATGCTGAAGGGGGCTGTAACGGAAGATCAGGGAAGTTGAAACCGAACAAGAAAAGGTAGCCATTTGTTTCATATTTGCGTGACTTGAGAGATTTGGGAGATGTGTTTCTAGCTTCTAGTTCTGAAATAATCCCATTTAAAATGGTATTTTAAGAAAAGAAAGCCAGCCTTGGGAGGAGGTTGCCCTGCTGAGAGCTGAAGTTGGCTGGGCGAGTTGAGCACAGCGTGTGCACCCTCAGCTGGTGAGGTTTTTCCATAGCTTTCCCGGCCCAGACAGGCCAATACTCAACATCCTTCTCTGTATTTCGTAACTTGCTTTACAAGCGATGTTGAGAGCCCACGCTTCTCACCCATCTGCTACTTCTGCTCTGCTCTCTGAGTTACTGAAGAAGGCGTCCAGTGTCTTGATTCTGGTACCAGAGCCACATAAACATTGCGTGTTTGTGGATGGCAAATGGGGCAGAAGGCCAAAACTACATTTAGGTGGTGATTTTTTTAATGGGCAATTAATATTTGACCCTTGTAGGAAAACTCCTGAAAAGGGAAGATTTTAAAATTATTTCGGTACCAGTACCAAATGGGTCAAGGTGCTGTAAGATTATCCTGCAAATGATAATTAAAATGATTATTTTAAGTGTTGTGATCTATACAGGAAATATAAAACTTCATTCAGTAGCTTCACTGTCAGTAGTAAATTGAAAGATTAAAAAAAAGTAAATATATTAATATTCATATAAACCAAAAATTTTAAGTGTAAGAGAAAAGAAATACAAACTTGGAAATCAAATAAAGTTTAAAAAAGTAATGTTAAATTTGAGTTGGAAACTTCAGTATGATCGCAGATTTTTAGTAGTTTTGTCCACTGAAAGGGACGTTAGCAGTGAGCTCACTTAGTGCCCAGATCTTGGTTTCTAATTTACCATTCCTCACAAATGAACCAGAACCACATGGAGAAATGGCTAATTCCATCCAGGTCTGGGGCAGGGGAAATACAAAGTGAGCCTGGGTTAGCTTGTGGTACCAGAAAACAAGGAAGTGAAGTTTTCAGATGGGGTTGTCAAAAGTACAGAGGAGCTAGCTTAAAAAGACTTTCCATTAGCTTAGTCAGGGACATTTTGAGCATCAAAAAATAATAACTAATTAATTGTGAAACATTAAATATGATACAATCCATGAGTCCTTAATAATATTCTAAGAAGGGAGATAGAAAGAGGATGTAAAAAGTAGAGAAAATAAAGAAATGTTTGTTACAGGAAAATGCCAGCTACCATTTTGAAACCTGTACAGTTATAACTGGTTCGGGCAAGGATAATCAATGGATACGAAACTATTCAGAAAAAGGTTGTATCCAAGGATTTTTCCTAAAATTCTTGCTAATTACAAAGAGGAAAATAGGCATTTACAGTGGTGAAATTTTGCCATCAGCACCAAGTGGTCAGACTTGGTGTCACTCACACATGGTGGAATGACCTAATGCTAATTGACTCTTCATGTGGTACAATTTGAGGTACGTGCTACTACGTAGGAAGAAGTTTTGCAAAAACATTTAGTCTGAGTCCAGTTAAACCTCTAAACTGGTGCTGACCAATCTAAATATAATGAGAACCACGTTTGTAATTTTAAATATTCTAATAGCAACATTAAAAAAGTGAAATTAATTTAAAAAATGTATTTTATTGGATCCAATATGTCCAAAATACTGTCATTTCAACATGTAATCAGCATAAAAGATTACTAATGAGATATTTTACATTCCCTTTTTCATACAGAGTCTTCAAATCTGGTGTGCATTTTACACATATTGTATATCTCAGTTTGGATTTGTCACATTTCAAGTCCTAATAGCCACAGGTGACTAGTGGCTACTCAGTTGGACAGCACAGCTTTGGACCTTTCAATTTATAGGAAATAACAAGGAATGGAGGGAGAAGTTAAATGACACATTAAAAAACATGCAAATGCAAGATACAGAACATTCATTCTATAAGACAGCTGTTGTGGTCTCTTTACAAAAGTCATTATAATAAACAAAAAAGAAGCAGGAATACTTCTAAATTAAAAGAGATTAAAGAGACATAACCACCAAATGTGATGTGTGAACCTTAATTATATCAGAGTTCAAAAAGAAAAAACCCTATAAAAAAAAACTTGAAAAATTTGTGGCATATTAGATGACATCGAAATGCTATTAATTTCCTTAGGATGTAATAATGGTAGGAGAATGTGTAATGTGCTGTGATGCTTTCAAGTTACTTTCCAATGATTCAGCAAAATAATAATGATAATATATACTTGCTGATGTAAATAAAGAAAATACAACAAAAAATGTTAGCAATTATTGAATCTGGGTTAATTAGATACAGATATTTGTAGTATTCTTCAAACTTTTTTGTTTATTTGAAAATTTTCACAATGGAAACTTCATACTAAAAAAAGAAAAGGTTATAGAGTAGAAAGTAGATATTCCTCTTTTTGTTTTTAACTTTTCTTTTTTTAAACTTGGTAGCATAAAGAACTATATATTTATGATAAACAGGTATTGAAAGTAAGAAGTATTGAGGGTGTGTAGAGTGAAATGGTAAGAAAGTTGTAAGAGCTAATGCATATCTTCATCTTATTATTGGTTCTTATCATGACCTATAGACTTTTTTTCCAAACTAGAAGTTAATTTTAGTTAAGTATTTAACTAAGTAGTTAAGTATTAAACTGCTCATCACCATGGATTTTAATCTATTTAAAGCTATACTAACATGAGATTGTAAAGAAACGTGGCTTTGTTTTAAGAGGTATAATGCTGGGATAATAGTACCATTTAAAATATCTGTCTTTGTAAAGGTTCTCTTTAAAATGATATTTGAGCAACTTTTGTAAGCGCTGTGGGGCAAGCTGATGAAGATGGATGACCTAGTAGGGATGAGAGTCGGTGTAGAAGTGCAGTCCTGTATATTGCTGTATCACAGAAGCCTGAGGATACCTTTGTGGTCAGGGGACAGACTTTGCAGTTGGGCCCATGTTTAAATCTTGGCTTTGTTCTAGATGTGTGACCTTGGACACGTTAGTTAACTTTTCTCACCTGCAGTTTTTTATTCTATAAAAGGATAAAAATGTGCCTGCCTCATTGAGTTATTAAAAGGTTAAATGAGATCGGGAGTGGGCAGTGCTTACTTAGTCAGTGTGGGAACATTGTAACTTCCCAGAGTAGAAGCAGTTTTAGAGAAACAAATAGTAAATAAAAAGCTTAGGGCTAAAACTCAATTATTTATGGCTATTTTTCTTCTCTCATCCTGGTTCCAGGGATATTGAAACCATGCCTTTACTGGGGATAGGGTGGGACCAAACCTAAAGAGTTATGTTTGTGTATTTTGTGTGTGTTTATGTCTGTCTGACATCACTCCAAAGCCAAATATGGGTAAACTCTGGATTTTTTTTCTTAGAAAGTCTCTTCACCTCAACTGACCTCTTGGAACAAAGAAAAAGATAGATTTACCTTTTGAACTTAAAAATGTGTGTAAAAATGATTCTTCTCTGAAACAGGCTTTCTTTTATGAATATGAAAATATAAATGAGGGGGCTGGTTTGTTATGGTCTGTTTGCTTTCACGACCTAGGTGGTAGTAACATATAGTGGAAAACATGGGTTACAGAGTTAGATTCACTTGAATCTGGGCTCAAAATAATAGTTGACTTTCTTATGCCTGACAACAGCTTTTTGACAGTTTACAAAATATCTTTTTCAGCCATAGCTTTTCTGGATTGATTTATTGGCATAATGGTCCATTTAAAGCTCCAGACATCCTTTCAAAATTAGATTTGCTCATAGAGAGTGATTTAATTTCTTTTGGCCAACATCTGATCACCACTAATCTCCATTAGTAAAGGGAATGGGTATGGATAATATCTAGGTAGTAGATAGGTAGAATATCTACTACTAGAATTAGATGATAATTTAGGGGATGAATTCTGGAGACCATGAATGACTTTCTAATTGGAATAAAAACAGGAAAACTCTTTTAGTATGTATTTTTTATAATTGCCGAAGGTGTGTGTATGTGTGTTTTGATCATAGAAAACCAGTAAATACCAAAGGCACAAGGAAAAAAAACAAGTTGATAGAAATCCCAACCCCCAGTGATAACCATATATGTAGATTTCTAAGATATATGTAATTTATATCTAAACTTCATAAATGGGATTATACTATTATTAATTTATTTTTTACTGAATAATATCTTGTACATACGTTTCTTTGTCCTGTTTGTCATTAAATATAAGCTCTGTGTTATCTTGGTAATTTAAAAAATTTGTGTAATTTTTTTAAAGCTTGGTGTAATTCTATTGCTATATTTTTCCAGTAAAAAAGATGAGAAGAAAGAAAAGAAACCAACTGTCAGTACATTTGCAATGGTGAGTTTTGAATTTATTCACCATTTAAAATGCTTTGGAAATTTGACTTCTTTTTACCTAGAAAAGAGATGTTTAATCTTGTATAATGTTTACTTGGTAAGTGCGTTACGGAGAGAGAGAGGCAAAACAAATTGGTTTGATTTAGCTTATTTCCAGTGGAAGGCGGTTCACAACTTGCCATGTGGATTGAATCTCAACAACTACTCTTCCAGGATTAGATTTCAGTATTCTTTTAATTGGTTATGTTGCCAGTGCTCTGTCACGTACTTAAACCCTTCTCCCAGTGATGGTCTCAGCCATCCAGAGTGAAGAAACCAGCCACACTGAGTGTGGTTCAGAAGAGAGCAAATGGACAAAGTTCCCTGTCATAAATGACTCTGAAATCCTGGCAGGTTTGGGATCAAACTCTCAGGCACCTGTAATAACGTTGTTGTTAGGTGCAGTGGAATTGGTTCCAACTCGTACAACAGCGAAACACTGTCCAGTCCTGTGCCATCCTCACAGTCGTTATGTTTGAGCCCATTGTTGCCACTGTGTCAGTCCATCTTGTTGAGAGTCTTCCTCTACATCATACTTAAGCATGATGTCCTTCTCCAGGGATTGGCCCCTCCTGATAACATGTCTAAAATACGTGAGACGAAGTCTTGCCATCCTGGCTTTTAAGGAGCAGTCCAGGGGAGCATTCTGGCTGTGATTCCCCAAGACAGATGTGTTTGTTCTTCTGGCAGTCCACAGTATATTCAGTATTCTTCACCAACACCGTAATTCAAAGGCATCAATTCTTTGATCTTCCTTATTCATTTTCCAGCTGAATAATGATTGATGCTAACAATGGATTATTACTTCAACTTAAACACTTGCCATTATTTCTCTGGGCCAAATAGCTGAAAATTTAAAATTTGATAGCCTTAATATAATTCTTTATCTCATTTTCTAGTTGTATGGTGGTGGTTGTAAAAATTTTTCTTTAATCACACTTGGAATAAGATGGGTTTTATAGTTGCGGCTGGTTGATGACATCTAGCTACCTGGATCTTTGCTTCTTTTTTTTTTTTTCCTAAGAGTGAAGAATTATATGAACTGTTGGGATTAGAACCTGGCAGACTACTCAATCAAGTCTTGCAGTGCATACTTTATAATTCAGTCATGACAGGCCAAGCATTTTTAAATCGGGGAGGGGGAGTATGCTGTCTTATAAAATGGATCTTGGTGAAGTGAATATAAAAATAGTTGTAGGTAGGAAACAACAGTCATGTGACTTTTACATTGAGGTTTCTGTGGTTGTCCTATATGATCTTTCTGTGCTAGCTCTGCTCCTGCTACAAGCCTACTTTTATTCTGTCTCCACTCCCTGTGAAATTTTTGAGAGATGAGACTATATACTTATTTTATTCTCAGAAAGATTATTTGAGTGACCAAGTGATAGTTTTTGTTTTAGATTTCATTTGTATGTTCTTGTATTGAGAGAAGCTTTCAGTTTAAAGTTTGATTTGTTCCAAAGATTGAATTTCATTTTTGTCAGTTTGAGACCAAAACATTTCTGCCTTTTGTACTTTAAACCAGTTGCCATTGAGTCAATTCTGACTCATGGCAAACCCATGTATGTTAGAGTAGAACTGTGCTCCACAGGGTTTTCAGTGGCTGTGATCTTTCAGAAATAGATTGCCAGGCCTTTCTTCCAAGGCACCTTTGGGTGGATTCGAACCACCAAGCTTTTGTTTAGTAGCTGTTATGGATTGAGTTGTGTCCCCCAAAAGTGTGTATCAATTTGGCTGGGCCATGATTCCAGGTATTGTGTGATTGTCCACCTTTTTGTGATCTGATGTGATTATCCTATGTGTTGTAAATCCTAACCTCTATGATGTTAATGAGGCAGGATTAGAGACAGTTAAGTTAATGAGACAGGACTCAGTCTATAGGATTAGTTTGTATCTTGAGTAAATCTCTTTTGAGATATAAAAGAAACAATTGAGCAGAGAGGAAGGGGACCTCCTACCACCAAGAATGAAGAACCAGGAGGGGAGCGCATCCTTTGGACCTAGGGTCCCTGTGCTGAGAAGCTCTTAGACCAGGGGAAGATTGATGACAAGGACCTTCCCCTAGAACCGACAGATAGAGAAAAGCCTTCCCCTGGAGAAGGCACCCTGAATTCAGACTTCTAGCCTTGTAGGCTGTGAGAGAATAAATTTATCTTTATTCACTTGTGGTATTTCTGTTATAGCAGCACTATATAATTAAGACAGTAGCTAAACTCTTAACCTTTTGTGCCACCCAGGGACTCCTTTTGTTGTTTAATATTTATTATTTGTAGTTCAAATAAAGGAGCCCTGATGGCTTAAACAGATCAGTGCTCAGTTATCTGAAAGGTTGGCAGTTTGAACCCACCCAGCGGCTCCATGGGAGGAAGACTTGGCAGTCTGCTTCTGTAAAGATTATAGCCAAGAAAACCCTATGGGGCAGTTCTGCTCTGTCACATGGGGTTCCTGTGAGTCAAAAATGACTTGATGGCACCTAACAACAACAGTTCAAATTAGGAAATATTCAGGAGTCTTATATTTTAGAAAATTTAATAGGCCTTATACATAGAGATATTATCAACACTATAATACATGCCACAAAAGAATAATAATCTAGAGTTTAATTGTGAGGTAATAATAACAACACACATAATGGCAGATGTACCAGGCGTAAATACACACACACTACACATACACATACACACACTAATTTGATTCTTACAGCTCCCTTTCAGGTATTATCATTCCAATTTTACAGACATAGAAACTGAGGCCAGACATGTTAACTTGCCCAAGGACACACAGGGAGGCCAGGATTCAAACAGTCCATGTTCTAAATCACAGTGCCCAGGATGACATTGAGGGGAGACATTCTAAGTCTTTTGATGCAGTGCTGTACTACTGGTGTGGCTTTTCCTTGTGTGTCTTTTTTCTGAAAACTTGACATAGAAAACTGAGCTTGTGTATAAACCTATGCACTCGACCACTATAAATTCAGGAAATTTAGCAATAAAGTGATGATATTATTGGTGCTGCCGATTAAGCTAAGGCAAAACCCCATGTCTATTAACTTATTTCTGCCGAGTCTTGTTATCAGTCTTGAGAAAGTGTTGAACAACAGAAAAGAATAGATTAAAAATTTTCTTTTACTTGTAATAGGCCACGATTCAACATTTGAGATACCTTCCAGAAACAAAAATACAGTGCAGTCTAAAGCAGCTGAGGAAATGAGACAAATGGAAAATAAAGGCAGGAAAAATAAGTTGGGTTGCAGCTTCTGCGTGAGATGTACTCCTTAAAGATTATACACTGTTGTCTGCAGATGACTCTGAGCTTTCTACTTTATGTTTCTTATTTAAACATTAATTTTTTTCTAAATAATAGATGACAATGTTAAGTGCTTCCTCTGTGCCAGGCATTTGTAAACACTTCATGTATATAATTTAATCCAATAACTATGACATAGAAACTTGTGTTATCCAGATGAAAAAACAGACTCAGAGAAGGTAAGTGATGTATTAGAGTCACAGAGTCACATAGCTTAGTAAGGGGGCAGGTACAGGAATTTTGTCCAGGTCTGCCTTTTCTGGAGCCAGAACTTTTAACAGCTTTAATCATTTATGATGTTTCAGGTAAACTGCTATGGACTTAAAGCATGCTTTCTGGATACTGTTATCTTCTGACCACCTTGTCATTCCCCAGTCATTGAACTCTTTGCCACCTGGCTCACTCTCCCTTTTTACCCCTGGTGCTCCTACCATCTTGTGTGACTTTTATGGTTATATGACCTTCATAGCTACAGTGATCTCTTCTTCCCCTTTATCCCAGCCATCCACTCCCATGCTCATATCCTGGATTTTGTTACTTAAAACTGTTCTACCTTCAAAGTGACTAATCCAGGCTGCCAGCTCTGTAACTACCACGTCATCTTCTTTCAATCTGCACACTGTTCTGAGATCTTCAGTCCACTGACCCATCTATTTCTCACCAGCCTCTTCCTGTCTTCATTATCTTTCTTTTTGAGCTTAGAGTCATGAACATCATTTTGGTTTTTCTCTTGCCCAAACTGTAAACTTCCTTTAACCTGTCTTTTGTCACATGCAGCCCAGACAAACCCTGCTTTCTGCTTTCTTGGTGCCTGTACACCCATGTCTGATTGGTGCTGGTGAAAATCTCATAACAGGTGTAATCTGCATAGAAACCCCACTATTACTTTTCTCACTATGTCAAACTTTTGCTCTTTTCAAGTCTTCTCCCCCTCTTCACTCCTTCCAGTCACCCCTCTGTTTATTTCACAAACAGAATGCAAGCCACCAGACTAGAAGTTCCTCACCTCTTCTCTACCAAATCTACAAACATATCTGTATCTGGATTAGTACCTTCTCCTTTCCTCCCATTACAGTAGAGGAAGCATCATGTTCTTAAAACTGATCACTCACTTGTACTTAGGTTCCCGTCTTCTATTCCTTCTCAAGGACATTATGTTATTATTACCCTTTCTGTCTTCTGTATCTTCATTCTCTCCCTCTCAACTGGATCCTTCCCATTGGCATTTACATGTCAAGTGTCTTCCTGTTACTAACATCTTTCTTAGAACCATCCCCCTCTAGCTCCCTTCACATACCAGAGTGGCCTTAGTTTTGGTTTCACCTTGCAATCATTTCTCAACCTATTGTAACTTGACTTCTGTGCCACCACCCACTAAATTCAGTGGACATTTTTTAATGCTGTCTTGATCTCTCAGCAGCACTTGGTAACTGCCCACCATATTCTTTCTTCTTTTTACTTCAGTGATACCACAGCGTGTTGATTTTTGTCCCTACTCTGGCTTTTGCTTTTTCTTGTGTCACCTTTGCCTGTGAACTTAGAGTTCCTTAAACACTCATCCTAGGAGTCAGTGATGGGAGTCAGTGATGGTGTTGTCATCCCTGTAGCTTCACACAGCCATTTCTAATTGTTTATTGATCCTCATGCAAAGCTCTT